GCAAGAGAGCCAAGAGATGAGCAAAGCAACAATTTGTTTCCTCTTTTTTATGAGTATGTAAGAGCAGAGGATAGGAAAGGATTTCCTGCTCAAGAAAACCCAAATCTGTGACTTTTAAGACGAGATCAGCAAAATGAGAAGAAAGCTATCATCTAAAATGGGCTGGGAGCTGGAGATTGAGTCTCCAGAGAGCCCTAAGAATGAGAACGGAAAGGAGGCTGCAGATCTTTGGGTGCCCTGGGTGACACCAGAGAGCCAAATCTGCAGAGCATAGAGGGGGTGAGACTCCCTCTGGGTGCAAGGTGAGAACTGGAGGTCCGAAGAGGTTGAATTTGGCTTTGCTATTTCAGGCCATGGATTACTGGAGATTTTCTGTTTCCATTTGACCTCCCAGCCCAAGGCAGGTACATTCTAGATATGTAGACATCACAACCATGGAGTGATTCATCGCCAGTCAGCTCCCTAACAAATTCCCCTCAGTCACTATTTGATATTTCCCCCTAGGCCTCCACCTCACCTTCCCCACACCCCCTCCATGATGACTTTTTCACATTCTTCCCTGAGATGGAGGCCAATAGACAAAGACTTCATCTTCTCTCTGCTCTACCTCACTATTTCCTCCCATCACCACTCTCCCTTTTGAGAAGAGGAATGTCTCCTTCACTCCAAAATTAACTCTGTCTTAGCCTTCGGCGCCCTCTCCCTCTTGCCCCTGTAACTTTTACCACCAATTACACTCCTTCCTGTTTATTTAATTTCTTCCTCACTCATGCCATCTATTCCAAAACCAACCATTTACTCAAGTTTTCCACCCTGAAGAGCTCTCACTCAATCCACTTTAGAGTCTCAACCAAACTTATCTCTCTGTAATTTTACCTCAGAACTTCTTAGAGATGGTTGGATGGCTGCTTTACCTCCTAGGGACCCCCTTACTCCTGAACCCTCACTGTGACCCCTGAATCTCAACCCTGTGCCCATCTATAGAGCCAACTCATTATTAGGCAGAAGAGACATGAAGGCAACCAACCCCACACTGAGATCCAGGATTAGATGTTCCAGGGTCAAGAGCATCTCTGTTGTGAAACCATCTTGCTTTTCCTACATGAGCCCAGTTTGGGCTCTAGCACTGGTCTTCTGGTTTCATTTTCATTCATCTTATTGAGTGTATATTATGTGCCAGGCTCTGTGGCACATACCTCCTCCATAGGACATCATTTCCTCCTCACTGCCACTGGGGTGGTGAACACTACACAGTCCATGGCTCCATGCTATGAAAGGACTGGGAAACTCTCTCAAAATCATACAGACTTTAGATGGGGAAAGCAGAACTTGAGCCAGGGATTCTAACTCTGAAGCTTTGGCTTGATAAATAGCTAGAGGTGTGCGTGTGTGTGTGTGTGTGTGTGTGTGTGTGTAGGGGTAGGGAGTAATTGTGGGAAAGCTTTCTGAGACCTTATTATTCGAACTAGAATTTCTGGTCCTGATTAGATGCAGCCTAGCTGTCAGGAGTGGTTATTATCGCTTTCTCCCGTGCCCGTTACTGGGCCTGTGGGGACTTGCCCTTCCTTCCTGTTCTCGACCCTCTGATGGTGACAGCAAGCTGGGAAGTCACATGCTGACTGCTGCCACGCTCTCCAGACACATGCTGTACGTGCCAGTCTGGACTTCCAGCCTCCCCTGCTCTGTCCTGCGTTTGGCCCTTCACAGGGGTCGTCCACTTCCAGGTCAGGGCCTTCTTCTTCTGCCTCATCCCTGTGAGTAATTGAGCTCTCCTCCAAGCTTATGGTCCTCTGTGGAGTCTTTTTCCTGCCTCTCCTGATAGAATTCATCCTTCACACTCTGTTGCATTCCTTTAAACCTGGGCTTATGGCCTTTCTGGCTCTTTTCTTCAGTAGATGGTAGATTAAGTTTAGTGACACACCTGTCTTATTCACATCTTCTGATAGGTAATTTCTTTTAAATTTAAATTTTTCTTGTATTGAATTAAGTAATTAAAACAAATTTTTAACTAGGATAGCACCAAAAACTGAAGTATGTTTGTTGGGGAAAATGAAGAAAAAACCACAGAAGTGAAAACAAGGATCTCGGCAGAAGAATGAGGAATAACCATGCCTTTTAAAGCACTTTGTAATTCCCAAACTCCAACTCACTGGATCCTTGCTATCCTGGAAGATGACTCTGTGACTTGCTGAAAGCCACACAGCAAGAATAATGATGACAGACCTCAACTCCGAGGCTGTGACTTCAAAACTCATCTTCTTTACAAAATGTTCTCTAAAGAAAAGATTTCTGTCTCCCTACTTACTAGCTGGGTCATTTGTAAACCTCAGGCAGAAATTCCCCAGCTCAGCATTATGCGTTCTCCAAGAATCAGCATCTTCAAATAGAACCAAAAGCAATGAAAACCAAGAACAAGTGACTTGGGGCTTCTCTTCAGTGGTAGCAAATCTTAGTTCTTTTTGCTCACTTCATGTGAAAAACTGTAACCCTCAAGGGGAATTATGGGATTTCCAAGGCAGAAGCAAAAGGTAGGAAATGCAACCTCACTAAGCACTCTTCAGGCGCAATGGGTTCCATGCTCTACCTAGGACAACACTGACATACACTCATACACAAAAGGACTCAATTTTATATTAATCCACCTGCTTCTTCTATAGAAAGCTAGACACATAGCACATGAACTGTTTATGAATCTTGTCACCAACAAACATAACTGAGTATTCAGTTTCTGAGGACATTAGTTCATTCAGAATGCTAAGAAAACGTGGGAAAAAAATTCCCTTGATATAAGAAGTCTATAGGATGACTGGACTTCTATTTCTGGCCTAACTGCCATGTTTGTAAAAATGATGCTGTGTAGAAAGCAAAGTAGAGGAGCGAGAAATTATCCCTCTGCTGAACAAGCCATACTTCTGGCGGACTGACTTGTTACCCCTCAGAAGCGAAGAAACATCTGGTTCTTAGATCTTGGGAATGACGAGGCACACCCATGGCAAGCTCAGGATAGCACTGTTCTTGAAGAATAGGAGACAGTCTCTTGAAAGGTCAGGACTGCCACAGGAGGTTTTTGTGGGGATGCTGTTTGTTTTGCTTTGTTGTAGTACTGGGGACTGCCCTGAGCTACATCCCCAGACTGCTCCCTCTTTTTGAGACAGGGTCTCCTTATTTGCTAAGTTGCCCAAGTTGGCCTCAAACTTTTAGTCCTCCTCCTTCAGCCCCACATGGTGCTGGGATTACAAGTGTGGGCCATCGTGCCTGGCTCTCAAGTTTTAATGTATGATAGCCTCATGCTTCTTTCAAAAAAATAGCTGTCTGTTCTCTTCTATGTGTTGAGAACTAACCAGATCAAAATATACCCTTATACTAGGTGTGGTGATACACGCCTGTAATCTCAGCTACTCAGGAAGCTGAGGCAGGAAGATGGCAAGGTCAAGGCCAGACTGGGCAACACAGCAGGAACCTGAAAATATAAATATCCTTGCTTCCATTTTCCACATTATGATCAGTGATCCTGCTGAAAGGTTAACTGCATCCCATCATGTTACTCCCTGCTCCAAGCTTTCCCTGGCTTCCCTCTGTACATAGAGCATGTTCAACTCCTCTCTGTGCTGTAGGAGGCTCGGCCTGTGCTCAGCTCGCCTCATCTCCTGCTCCTGGTGCTCCACTCCAGCTGTACCAGCCTTCCCCATCTCACTTAAGCACACCAGGCTCCTTTTGGCCTCAGGGTCCCTGACCTGCTGCTCGCTCTGCAGCCAGCTTGTCCCATGGACTCCTCTCCGGTGGCTAGTACCTTCTCCTTGCTCAGACCCCCCCTCATATATCAACTCCTAGAGGATGCTTGCTTATTCTAAAATCAGATTTCTCCCATTTCTTTCCATCCTCTTATCCCCTTTATTTTATTGATACTATTTCTCATTCTTAGACATACTTTGTTTATTGGTTATATCATTTGTTTTCCCCCATTAAAAGAGAAGATTTTTCCTGTCAATTTGTCTTGTATTCCAGAACCCAGTATCCTGAATCCAGTTCCATGCATAAACATGGAGGATGCCACTTATAAGACAATTTTGTTTTATTTTCTCCTCATATGTTGTGGAAGGAGTAGGATTTGAGGATGCTATTCCTGGTTAATGAGAAATCAGTTTTCCTATTACTAAGGACTTTTCACTTTAGAGGCCACCAAGAGTTGTCTCTTTGTTCGAGGTTTTCTGATTTCTCTGCATTGCAAGCACAAACACAGTATTTGGAGCAAAAGAGAAGTTTGATAAGCTTGCATCTTATCTAAAATATTGAAGAAAGAAAGTGACAGAGAGGAACATTTGCTCCAGATGTGTTGGGGAGATTCTAATAAACTCCGGGCCTCACACCCACTCTGCAGATTCTTTTGAATGATTCAATTTGGTTGTTAAACCTTTTTTCTCTATAGAGCTAAAAAAGAGAGAGGAAGATTCATTTATTCATTCAATAAATAGTTCAAATGTCACACCCCCAAGAAGTTTCCCTCAGCAGGAAATCTGAGTTCCCCTAAACTTCTATCACCTTCTAATTCATTACATTCTATTAATTTCTTGGCAGTATTTATCTCCTTCTAAACTTATATTCTACTGATGTTTTCTATGGCCATTGTCTGGTTCCTCCTGGGAGAATATAAGCTGTGTGACAACAAAAGTCCTGTCTCTCATCTGCTGATGTTTCTCCAGAAATAAGGGTTCATGATGCAAATGAAATCTTAGCAAGCACCTGCTGAGTAAATGAAGGAATAAAGTCTTGGCCCCTTCCCAAGTCTGAGGTTCTTGCTTTTCTGAACACACTTTGCACCTCTCAGCTCGTCCAGGTCACCAAGGGCTTCACCTCCGCTGTGGTCTCCTTTAATGGTTGTGCATTTAGTCCTGTGGAGCCTTCCGCCCTTTGTTACACTGGGCTGACATAAGCAACATGGGCTTTTGGGCGATTATTTCAAGCATTCAGATTTTGTTTCCCCATGCAACACCGTAAGCTCCCTACAGGGAGAACATATGTCTCAGGTCAGGGAATAGATGGGAAGACAGTTTTTGAGAGCATGATAATGAAGGGAGTTTTCAATACACTGAGTTTTGTACACCTGTAGTATATGCAGGTAGAAACATCCAATAAGCAGTTATTACATACACATCTGGATATCAGAGGGAGGTCTAAGCTGAACTCATTCATTGGAACTCATCAGCCTATGTTTGGTTCACTGCCAGGTGGAGTGCATGAACTGCATCACACAGGGAGAGTGGAGAGGGGCAGTGGGTGAGCAAGATGAGCGGGTGCGGGAAACCGGAAGCTCTGCCAGGTGAGGTGCTGGCGGGGGAGGAACCCCAGCCATGGTAAGAGGGGCCTGGAAGACTGTGTTACTGTGGATGCTGAGAAATTGTAAATTTCCGTGAGAACAGAGAGTGACCAATGGTGGCAAATGCCACAACAAAGACAAGTAAGAGAAGACTAGGAAAAGTGCCCAGTGGGTTTGACTGCAATTGACCCTCAAAGAGCAATTTCCCGTGAGTAATGAGAACAGAACCCGGACAGAGAGCGAATGAGGATGGGCTGCACTGCAAGGAGAGTAATTAGAGAACGCGAACTCAGACCATGCCCTGCACACCAGAGAAAGGAAGGCTGACACCAAACAGGAGCTTCCAGGGTAAGTGAGTGGGGCTTTACTACTTGGAATTAGGTTCTAAATGGTAGACGGGAAATATATCATTTACTGTATGCTAGCTATGCTTCAATAAGATAGTATTTTTTTAAATGTTTTAGAATCTTACAAAATATTAGTACTTTCTTCATTTGAGAATCAAATTTCAGATTTATTACAGCATATTAAGCTATTTCCTGATGCATGAATGAGAAAAAAAGCAGGAAAGTAAACAGCCAGAAATATGCAAACTCATACTCTTGTTTTACAACTAATAATAATAATAAGTCAAATAGTAACAAAAGTACTCTTTTCATAAAGTAGTGAGCAAGAAGGCATTAGGACCTGGAGTACGGGCCAGCAGGGAGAAAGACCAGGAATTATGGCTAGAGTTTGCAGATTTCTGTACACTTCTCTAAAAGCCTAGACTTTGGACTAAATTATGACCCACAGTAAAGCAATAAAAGCCAAATTAAGGCCTCTTGGAAAGACTCTGTTTTCCTGAGCAGAAGAATAGCCTTAATGTCATCAGAACCTCACTAAGAGTCATAACGGGAAAAGTATATGGGAAGACAATAAGGAGAGAAAGGAGAATAAGATCTAAATTAAATATTTGTCCTTTTTCCAAAGGTTCACTAATTGTCCTGCCAGTGTCCTAAAATTTAGAGTGAATAAATGTCAGAGTTTAAATAATTACCCAATGGTTGGTAACCTCAAAGATGAGACAGGTAACAAAACAAAAGGGAAATATTAACTCAGTGAATGCTATTTGCTCGAAATGCAGCCATCTGGAACCTTCTTTGTGGTGTATTTAACAGAAGATAGAAGTCCATAGACTAAATACTGACGTACACAGTGCTGTACCTTTTCCCAAAGCACACTTCGCTCACTGCATCCTTACAGTAACTCACAGAAATAAACAGCAGGCCTGGATCTTCCTCCTACCCCACCCCAGAGTGATATTTATCTTTTTGTTTTTACACAAACAGAGCCTAAGAGGTAATCAGTTTTTCCTTTGACTGTCTGGCTTCCCATAACATTATCCAGATACAAGCAGCTTTGCCAGCACTGAAAATGCGAAAGAGTAAGCAGGGCAAGTAGACAGGAGTTATTTTAAATCTGTTCGAATGCATAGTCACCTTATTGGTTATTTTTAAAAATCTAAGCAGTAAAGATAAATGGCAAGGTTCCTAATTTAAAGTGAGAGAACAATACAGAGAGGCTAAGTGATGTGATTATCTCTATCCATCTTGCAACATCTACTTCCTGCCAGAGAATGAGTAGTCACTGCAATGTTCCACCCTGCTGTGACCTAATGTTGTTCAGCTGAATTGATCATCAAGAAGTATGATGATTCACAAAGACCCACAAGAAGCGCAGGATGGATCTGGCATCAAATGCACTAGCATCTCCAGTTAGTCGTTCCTCTTCCCATGTGCCCCATCGAGGCCCAGCTCGATCCTGTTTCTTTCCCCTGACTTTGTAGCTAATACTTATAGAGGCCTTTCTATGTACCTAGCATTGTTCTTACTGCCTCTCATGGCCTGGATCATTTAATTATCCCAACAGCCCTAGTAGGGAGGTGGTATTCTTTTCATGCTTATTTACAGATGAAATGGCTATGACACAAATAGATGAGGTAATTTATGCAGTGGCACACAGCTGGCGAGTGGAAGAGCAGAATTCAAGCTCACACAGTCTGGAATCAAAGGCTTTATTCTCAACCACTGGGCTACGCTGCCTCCATTTTTATGTTAGGTAAGAAATTCTTTCCTTGAATACCACAACAGATTTTTTTAGTCTCCATTAAAAGTACTTCTTCTCATGCTACTATTTCTCATTATAAAAAATATATAGGTTTATTCTCTAGCTAAACTATTCTTATTGCATGAATTAGACAAAAATATCATCTGATCACAAGGTTGCTCCTCAGGTTCTGATGTGTCTCTTAGTTCTTTTCCTGCATATGTACGTACCTGTAAAAATATACAGCATTGCTTGATGGGTTTCTTTTTAAATAAATATCACTATATTTATCATTTGCAAATTTCATTCTAAACTCCTCTGTATGCCTTTGAGAGAACTCTGAATCAAAACAAAGGGGGCTTTCTGAAAGAAAAACAGCCGTGCCCTTTCTTGAAAAATATCCACACCCCTAAATAGAGATGGCACAATCCTATTAAAGTGCTCTAATACTCCTCTTTGGTACCAGTGAAATCTACCAAAGGGCTCCAAAAACTAGAAAAAAATTATAGGTTCAAGAATTCAAGCGCTATATACACATAAGGCTGAGGAACATCAATTTCTGGTAACGGATCTATATAATATAGGCATATTTCTTGGGGATTTGCCATGCAGTAAGGTCTGGCCCACTGCTTAATAAACTCTATGTAGATAACCAGAATATTTAATTTACCTGTACATCACATTCCTTTTTATTAGTCCATGTCTACACTACATAATGTTTCCATTCCTTGTGGGGAATTGGTGCATGTATGTAACACACGTTAATTCCTTTTTTCATTCCCTCTCCCTTCCCTCTGTTCCCCTCCATCCATATTTTGATCCCCTCTCGCATTTTTTATACATGTTCGCAGTACATAATGTTTACATTCCTTGTGTGGGGTCAAAAAACACATCTTAATTCCTTTTTTTCATTCCCTTTTCTCCCTCTCCTTTCTTCCCCCTCCCTCCATCTCGATTTCCTTCCCCTTTCAAAAAGATCTATCTCCCAACTTCCTATTGTCTGTCTTTTATTTTGCTCTTTATTAATACTTTGGGTTTCTCATATGAGATAAGCCATGTCATATTTAAACTTGCACACCTCATTCTTGTAGCAACCTGAGTCCTGGATTACATTATGATCCCACTCACTAATCCCTCCTTGAACTTGAATATCTTTACCTCTTGTTTACTATTTCCAGGGTGTAAGCCCATGAAGACAGGAATTGTATTCCTTTATTTCCTGCTGCAGTGACATTACTTAGCTCAGTGCCTAGCATGTAACAAATGTCTGTTGAATGAAGGGATGAACCCCAAACAATTGACTCATTCTGATTTCCAAGGCTCTGTGCATTCTGTATCTTGACATTTTATGTATCTTTGACATTATGAGGGTCTGACAGTTATAGATCTATAACAGTTCCTAATAACAAGTCATTAAAATAACACTTAACTGTGACATATTATTTTTTAAAATAAGTTTTAGAATGCTTGGACACTCTAAAGTGCATGTATTTTAGAATCTTGGGGCAATTTGTAACCTCTCTCTTCTGTTTCCTTATTATAACAATGAAGACAATAAAGCATTTAGATTTAGTGAGGACTAGATGAAATAACATATGAAAGCAATTAATAACATGTGAGACACTGAGCAGGAGTTGAGTAAATGCCTGTTTTATGCCTGTTTTCCTACCACCCCCTTACTAATAATAAAACTCAGTTTATTTATACTGATAATGTTGTTTCGTCTCTTATTTCCATTTGCAGCAATCCAGGCAGCAACTTCCTTCTCATCCAACCTTGACCTTTTGTTTTGTTGGACTCAGTCCCAGATCTCTGGGACCTGATGCTGGGACCTGATGCTGGACTTTGCAGAATCATGGATCAAATCCAAATGCTGCAGTACATAAAGGTTCTGTCTTCTTAAAAAAAATCCAAATTCTTGTAGCTCTTTTACAGAATGCAATATATGTCCAAAAGTTTATAATAAGATTATCAAATGTGATGTTCTAAAAATCAAAACTCATGTGCTTATAAAAATGATTTGCTACATTATTACACGCTGCTCTTAAGTCTAACATTCTCTCCAGAAGTTCCCACAGTTATAATTTCAAGCCAGTGAAAGTAATTAAGACAGGAAAAGGGAGAATCCTTAACTTACTTTCAGCAGATTTAGATTTTCTTCCTGTAATACTCTTTATGCAGCCCTCCCTGCTGTTGCAAACTCTTAGATCTACCCCCAAACATGTTATTTACAAAGTCTTAAAGTCTCACAGATATTTGCATTTGTTTTGTAATGTACTCAACAAGTCATCATAATGCTTTAAAAAGAATTGAAGAAGACACAGCTGGATCCTTTCTGTACTGTGAGACTGACTCTTCTCAAGATTTAAGACTGTCTTCCCACAAACCTTCGAAGTAGATCTATTGGACTGCTACCTGAAGGATCTCCTGGAAATAGGCATATCTTTAAAGCTGATGCCCATTGCATCCTCTTCATTCTGCATTACAAATTTTATAATGCCCAGTTTGATTAAAGGAGTGTCTTTAGGCTATTTGTTAGGGTCCAACTACAACCTTTGAATAGAGATTAGGCTGGGCAGCTTGCAAATCTTGCACAAAAAGTAAATCTACTCTTTGCTTTGAGACTTGGGGAGTGTCAAGAGTAATTGGAATGTTTTCTTCATGTGCCCCTGCCCTAAAGATTACATCTTTTCCTTCAAGATTTAGCAAGAGGCACTGAGTGAGAATTGTAATCAATATCATTAGCTAAACATACTACACCCAAAAGACAAACAGCTGCTGGATTACTGCGCTACTACTCACCATCTTAGAGTCCTCATTCATATAGTGCTCTAAACCTGGAGAAATTCACATACCGACTCATACATCACCCAAAAGAATTCTGAAAATATAGCTGTGAATTGTGGAAATTCACAGCCATATGGCCAGAATAGGCCTGGAAACAACTAGGTGTTCTTGATTTTTTATTTCAAGATTCTTTTTTGGTCTAAATATGTAAGCTCCAGCCAAGAGATACACCTGAACTATCCATACCTTGCTGTGAGTTTTTGGTGTGTTCAGAAACCAGCATGCAAATGTCATTGGAGATACTGTAAGAGAAAAGGATGTGAGGTGTCCCCTTGAGAGATTTTTAATGGAACTAGTCTGAGGCTAGTTTCACACAAATATCTCCTGGGGACTGGAGGCAGGGAAATGACTAGCTCAGCATCAAGCCTGTAGACCGAGGATATGCAGGGAGAATGGATGGGGAGACCCATCCAAGAGGGTTGTTTCAGGAGCTAGGTCATTCCACGGTTCCAATCTTCCTTCACGTGTCATACTCCTTCCTTCCAAGGTTTGGTGTCTGCCCTGCAAAATACCCAATAATCGAAAAGCACAGTATGATTTATGGCATTAGTAGTTCCTTAAAGCTGCTTATGGAAGTGTCTTCAGTCCATAAAGTTGGAGAAAAGAGAATGAGAAACACAGGGCATAAATTGTATCTTCAGAATACTTCATCAGCTGGCTAGTTAAGTATAATAGTCCATTAGTAGCAAGATAAGGCTCAGTTAAAACTGTAAATTAAAATTTAGATGTCTCTTTCCCTCTGCCTGTAAAAAAGCAATTTTGCTGCAACCTCAACACCAGGTGAACCACTAGACCACTTAAATAACAGGTACTAAATCAAAATTTCACTCTGGAAATTGGGAACTCAAATCTATTTTGCATGCTTTGTAAAGTCACCCACCATTCCAGGACATCTTAAACAGGCAGTTATTTTGTTACAGCCTTTTCCTGGTAGTGAGGAGAAAAGTTGGATGGGATGAGGCAGAGGTTGGAAAAGTTGTAAGTAGAGTATTTTTAATACCACAATATAAATAATGAATTAGGTAGGGCAGTGATTCCATGGATGCTAAAAAATGTTCTTATATCCAACCCCTTTGTTTTGAGAGGATTCAATCCCATTTTAAATGGCATTCTTTAGATTTGCCATTTAGTCATGCTAAAACCAAAAATGCTCAGAAAATAAAAACCCAAAACACTGAGAGTTGAACACATTGACACATTTCCAAGGGTGTAAAATGAAACAACTGCATGGAGGCAAAAGTTTGCCTAGATAAGAATCAGTATGAAACAACTTTGAGGGAGTAGAGAGAATCGTCTGCCTATGATATCAACCCTGGAAATGAGCCTGTAACCATCTCATTAGTAAGCTTCGTGCCCCGGCTTCACACACACTGAGATCCAACTCAGCAGCTACCAGAACTGACCCAGCTGCCCTACAGGAAAGTATGCAACTTTCCGTTTCTAAGTAGGTCCACCAAGAGAGCAAGAAGGGTCTTTGACCGAAAGAACTGGGTCACAGGATGGGAGCGGCACCATTGCCTTTAACATCATAAACTCTTGAGTTTTAAGGAGACACGGTTCCCATAGGCCTAAGAGAGTTTCTTAAATGTGACCTACATTCAAACATAATTATCTTTCTTTCCCAATTGGCAAACATTTACTGTATAATCTTGTCGTAAAATCCCACAATTAATAATTTTTAATGTAACAAGCCACATTCTCTGACCTAAAATGTAGTGCGATACATAACAGTAGAAAACAATTAAAATAGTCTGACTATACCTTAGTCCTGCCCCTAAGATTTTTGGAACTACAGCTTTTCCTTTAGATGAAATGACTTACTTAATCAGTTGAAGTTACCTGTAGCCTTCTTTGGGAGGAGTATTTAGAAATGTTGTATCCTTACTAAATATTCAGGACTAGTTTTAAATATTGTTTAAAAAGCACAATGAAGACTTGAACTAAAGCATTACACACGAAGCCCTTTGAAAGTAGGAATTTATTCTTTAGAAGATTATTTATGCTGTTCAATTCATTTGATTTTAGCAAATAGTATCTCAGAAATGGTGTGGCATAGGATAAAAAGTACTAGGGCTGGGGATTTAGCTCAGTGGTTCTGCCACCTGCCCCACAAGCTCAAGGACCGGAGTTCAATCCCTGGTACCAAAAAAAAAAAAAAAAAGAATAGGATAAAAAGTACTGAAAGGTTAGATCTAACCAGGCCAACAAGCCAGCAATATGATCGCAGGCTTCTCAGTCATCTTGGAATCTCTCTTTCATCTGTAAAATGAGATCATGGCAATGCCCATCTTGTAGTGTTGCTTTGAAGAATAAAAAATTAGAGTAACTGAAGTAACTGGTAACCTGAAAATGATTAAACAGATGTTTAGATTGTTGTGAGGCCTTCAAATATCAAGAAAATTATCAGAAAAATGAAGCACGCCAAAAACATCTTAAACATGTCTACCTAAAATACATTTTGACAAATATAGATGCCAAATATGCACACAGAAATTTCAGATCAAATAAATGTGCATTTAAAGTCAGCATGAACTTCCAGATAAAGATGGCAGATTATGCACATGTATTTATATTTTCTTCCAAGCAAAAGTCCATACAAACGTTATTAAAGGAATACAAATAGGTGCAAAACTACAAGGTAAAACAAGAATAAGAAATAGTTATCAGTAGGTAGAATATTTCAACAAATTTTTGGAGGATGAAAAGTACATGGAGGCATTCAAAGGCATTCACAGAAGTTCACTCAGAGTAGACGAAGGTTAAGGGAATAGGAGGATGATGGTAGGGATGTAGATTAGCTGCCAAGAAAAACCTTTGAGATGCTGAGAATCCTGAAACTTCAGATACTGTGGGGGTGGACATGAAACATAGGTTAAGATATAGAAGAAATCAATGAAAAGCCTGTCCAAGGAAAGCTGATTTTAACACTATGTAAATGTCAACCACAATCATTGCATTTGCCTTGCTCTATGATGTAAACGGAAAACCGAAGATTCCTTTACATTTGGGAAAAGTCTTAATGTGAGAGACTCTGACCAAGATAAACAAGGAGGAAAACCTGATTCCAAAATAAAAATAACACAACAAAGAACACAAGTTTTTACAAAAATTCTAACATCCTTGAAAGATTCAAGAATTCTTTGTTTCTATTAGACAAGAACAGGATACTCTGAAAAAGAATAAACTGAGTTTAAGAAGAAAGCTTGACATCATTTACATATGTATGTAACACAAACATATGTAGATACAGTTTTTCCAAAAAATTCAGAATGTAAAATTTATAAAATCTCATGGAAGGTAAAATGAAAATAGACAAAAAGATCAAACCAGGAGGACTAACAGGAAATCAATTGGAATTAAGTAAAATGAGATGCAAAATGGAAAGAAGTAGGGAAAGGATGGAAGGATCATTTTAATGGTACAAGAGAATTTTGTACCCGAAAGAATTAAGATTTCAGGTGGTAAGAACTCATAAGTGGTTGTAAAAAGACTCTTACCTAAGATCATCTTTGAAAGAAAAATGCAGGAAGAAAAAGCAATGAAAATCAAACTGGTATTGTACTTCATATTAGCAATATTGGACCCTCAAGAAAAAGGAACATGTTTTTTAAATTCTGAGAAAAAGTTACTTTCTAACTATATTACCCATGCCTAATTAAGTTATTATGCAAATGTGAGCATAGGCCACACTTGCAGGTGCTGATTTTCATACATTCAAAGAATCAGAAAAGTTGTCTCACGTATAATTTCTTTAGAATTGTGTTGAGTATGTCCTGCAGCAAAAGAAGTCTGCAAAAAGGCAAAAGCTTGATCCTACAAATGAGGAACAAAGCAGACACAGATGATCAATAAAGGAAAGACTTTCACTGGGTAGCAGGCATAGTGTACAAGGAGACAAGAGTAGAGGACAAAGGAATTTTTCTTGAAGTAGTTGAAGAAGAAGTAAGTTCCTGAAAAAGAATTAACAAAACCTTTACCTGAATGGACAGAAAGAGTACATGATAAAGATAAACAGCATTTTTAAAAAGGCGATTACAAACTCTAGAAAAGTTAAAAGCTGTACAAGAGAGGAAGTATAATAATAGCACGGTACTTGAAACTGTGAGAAACAATCTTAAATTCCAAAGTAAATAGCATTTACTGATTTATAAAATTACAGGAAAAGATGATAGAATTATAATTAGAGAGCAGAAAGCAAATGTCAATAATCTTGACAACACAGAAGAAAAGATTACAAAAATTGAGAGACGGAAGTGAGAGAAAAGAACTGAAAAGACAGAGATGCAGAATAAAATACTCTTATTAAAGAAATAAGTATTTTACTGAAAGTTACATAGGTAACCAATAAAGGCATAAAATAAAAATAAGATGTATAGAAAGTATTAGGAGGCTTAAATTACAGTCTAATCTATCAATAACACATAGCAAAACAATATAATATTGTATTGGTCCATTTTCCCTCCACTGTAACAAAATACCTGCAGCTGGATAATGTATAAAGAAAGGAGGTTTATTTAGCCCACAATTTTTGAGGCTGAGAGTCCAAGCTTGGGCAGCCCCATGTGTTTGGCCTCTGGTGAGGACCCCCTTGTCTGTGTCACCTCCTGGAAGATGACATTGTGATGGGAACCCATGCAAAAAGGAGAAAGAGTACAGTGAGATGGGAAGTCAGGGCATGAGGAGAGGCCAGTTTTGCTATTTTATAACAACCCACTCTTGTGAGAAGCATTTGGGTGGCCCAAAGCACCTACATTAATCCTTTCCAAGGGTAGAGT